TACAGTTTAGAGTACTTTTTAAAAAAACAAAAACTAATCATAATGAAATAAAAAAAGCTGTATAGAAGGTTTCATTAGAGCTGTAGGATTCCATAGTCAAAATAGTCTTTAATTCTTGTCCGTTTAAAAAAATTAGGTTAGTGATAAGTTGGTTTTGTCAGTTTTGAGAAGTTATTTATATACTAACTTTTTTAAACGGACGAGAATTAGAGATTATTTTTGGCTATAAAGTTCTACAGTTCTAATGAATTCTTCTGTACAGCTTTTTTTTATTTCATTATGATTAGCTTTTGTTTTTTTTTTTAAAAAGTACTCTAAACTGTATAAATAATGTAAAGTTAAATTGAATTTATTAGCCAATCAGACAAACTTCTGTCTATGAACTGTATTGTGTTGATTATAATACACGAGATATTATTTTAGATATTATCAAATTTTTTGAATAGGATTCACTCGGGTATTAATTTTGAGAGAAGTATTATGTATTCTGGTTTTTCAAATTTCTGAGTTGTGACTCTATAAAATGTAGTTGGGTCTTTTTCATGGGGAATATTATAGCAGGGGAATATTGTAGTTAGCGCGGTGAGGTAAGTGTGCATAATAATTATGATAAAATAATGGTTTGATTATATCATTATTATTTAGTAGAAATTTAAAGTGTAATAGTAAGAAAATTAAATTAAAAAATATAACTTATTGTTATGTTTGTTGTTGTATTTATTGTTCTTTTATTAGCAATTTGAGGGTATTATCAGTAATTGTAAAAGGTTTTAAATTGGAAGTAAATTGTGATGTTTATGATTAAGTATTCTCATTTTATGTTTAATATTTAAGATTGTTAGCATTATTATATAGGATGGTATTTTTTTTTTATCGAATAGTTTTTGAGCTGTAAAATGAATAGTAGTATTGTAGTTCAAATTAATTTTGAGATACGATTTGACGTTCAGGATAATTATATTAACTGAAAAGAGTTTAATTGGAGAAAGTAATAGTAGAACGTTAAAATTAAAAAGAAAGTGTAAGATATTACGTATTACTTTGGGTTAGTTTCGCATAAGAATTAAACTTGCGGTTTTGTTATTACAGGGTAATTAATAATATGTATGGATAATTAGTGATGTAATTTATAGTTTAAATAAAAAGGATATATAAAGAGAAATAAAGAAAAGCTTTAAATAAATGGATATTATTAATACACAAAATCTAATTTTCATGATTAAATATAGACAATCAATTGTTTTAATGCGTCACTGGTTTTTTGTAGGTAGTGCAGAATTACGTTGCTACAAGACTTTAGTATCCTATTCTTGAAAAGTATGCCGATATTAATTAAGCAGTAATTTATTATGTTTACGGTCAAAATTAATAATTCTGTTATACGATAATCTTACATGATCAATAATTTTTTAGTATAATCATTTTGCATGGTATCTTTCTCTTTAAACATTACCTTGAGGGTATTATTTAATTATTCTTGGTTTCTCATAAAAGACCGGGTATTATGTAGTGCTGTACGGTAATATATATATTTTTTTATGCATATTTTACAAAGTTTTATAAGTAAAACAAAAGGTGGTTATTTTAATTAATATACATAACTTTTTAGTAATAATAAACATTGTAGATATTGTGCTGATATTTTTAATAATAATTATATCATTAGTATATTTGTTAAATTAATGATATTAAATTTTAGAAATTATTTTCATTATTCGAATATTTCATGAAATACAATATTTTTGGTAGTAGTTTTGTTAGGAGGGAGTTTAATATAAATAGAATCAAAATTACGAACATGAGATAAAGCGACATAGAGCTGGCCATGACTAAATACTAGATTTTCAAGTAATAATCTAATTTTTTGGAAAGTCTGGCCTTGTGACTTATTTATAGCCATTGAAAAAGCTAGTCGTATTGGAAATTGCTGACGTGTAAAGTCAAATGGAAAAAATTCTTCAATTGGTTGTAGTTTGATTCGTGGAAGAAGTACTCTTTTTTTTGGGAGTTTCTTTTGTTATTAACTCACAGTCAAGGACATGTTTGCGCATACGTCTGATAATAAGTCTTGCACCATTGCATAGACCTTGATTAACATCGAGATTTCTTAGTAGTATTATTATAGCACCAATTTTGAGGTTTAATTTATGAGGGGGCAAACCATTAGGAGTTAAAGAGTAGAAAAATTCTTCAGGGTATTCGGTTAGATCTTCTCCATTTTCACAAATAGCTTTATCAATACTGGTATAAGTTTTTAATTGACTAGGAAGCTTATGGATTATTTTTTCATTTATACCGTATATTTCCGAAAATAAGCTACCCTTTTTTGGACGATTTTGAACACAAAAAAAACCAGTAGTAGCTTATTTTCGGATATAATTGATTTTTGCTCAATTCCGGAAAAATTTATTAAGCAAATCGATGATGTGTATTAGGTAAAAGTTTGTTCAGGAGAGCAAAATACACATATTCTGAAAATTTCAAGTAAATCGGATAACTTTTTATTAATTGACTTTTGATTTTTACGTTCAACGAATATGAATTTCAAAGAAATTTTAAAAAATTCGTCGAACGTAACATGCAAAAACGTATTAATAAAAGGTTGTCTGATTTGCATAAAATTTTCAAGATATATGTATTTTGATCTCCTGAACAACTTTCCTTAATAAGCTATGTCGATTTACTTAGTAAAATTCTGACTTTACTATAGAATAACTACTGGCGATCGTATAGTAGCTTATTTTCGGGTATAAGAGGTTTTTATATTTTTCTTCCAAAAAAGGGAAGGTAGCTTCTTTCGGAGGTAGCTTATTTTCGGAAATATACGGTAGTTAAACTTTCTTTGTTAATAGGGCAAAGTATTACTTTTTTATATAAAGTTTCAGAAGTTTGTTCTGATATAAATTCTCCAAATACATTGTTTATTAGATCTGAGATTATGCATTTAGATGGTAATTGGATTTTATTGTTGATTGTAGGTAGTTGACCATCACCTAATTGGAGAAGCCATTATCAATACGCATATTTTGAGTGAGATGAAGTGACTAGAAAAGTAGCCATAATAGTGATCATTTTATGCTTGTATTGACTTGAGCAGCACGAGACCCATGTTATACAATTGGCAGAACTTGTCGAAAATCTCCTCCTAAAATCATAATTTTTTCACCAAAAGGTGCATTATTTTGTGTAAGATCATGTAATCCAGAGTCTATAATATCTAAAGCTTGATTTGAAGCTATAGGAGCTTCGTCCCAAATAAAGACTTTTGTTTGACGAATTATTTTAGCTTCTTGGCTAGTTGCAGACAATTGTAGTGTTGATTCATTAGATAAATTTAGGTATAATTTGAAATGACTATGAACAGTTGTACTATTTGGCAAAAGGTTTGTAGCAATTCTAGTTCAGGCTAATGTTATAACGTTAATATTATGTCCTCGAAGAATGTGATATAGTGTCCGATAAAGAAAGGTCTTTCCGGTACCACCCGCCCATTAACAAAAAAGCAGATATCAGATGACTTTCTTTCAATAGCAAGGAGAATTTTATCAATAGCAAGGCATTAGCACGAATTAAGTTGGATATACATTTTTTGCCCTAGTTTGATTTCTTCTTGCTTATTAAAAGATTCAGTGGAATATGTGTGATTTTTTATTTTAGGTAGATGTATTTTAAAAGTATTAGACAAAGATTTTTGAAATGGTTGAAGCATTTTGTCAATATCATTATAAGCTAAGGATATAGCTGTTTCAACATCATGGTGTTTTATATAATCTTCTGCTATGTGTTGTTTAAATTTGTTCTAAAGTAATATTGGATCTTGTGGTGTGCCCTAGATTAAAATTATCATGAAGAGTTGTCATGTTTCTCGTGGCATTTGCTATTGAATTGCTTCATTTAGGGATCATGTCTATTCATTATCATTCTTCAAAAGTTTATGTTTACAGGCAGCTTCATAGAATGTGTTACAAGGTTCACCATTTACAGTTTTTAGATCTTCAAAACTTTCTGCACCAGGAACATATAAAAGTAAAAGACATAAGCAATATCGTTCTAAATATTTTAGACTAACAGTATACATTCGACCAATGATATTATTTGTATTATAAACTCGCTTTTGCTATATTTTATATTGCTTAATGAATCTATAGTAAAGAGAAATATCATGATAAAGTATTTCTTTTGCTTTTTCATTTTCTTTGTTAAGTTTAAACCAAGCAGTTAACATTGTATATTCTGAATTTGCTTGATTTAAAGCATCTTGCTCTTTACCAGAAGTAATGTATAAGTTTTGTTCTCGTGGCAAATAAACAGAAGTTGAATAATTATATGAGATTTTTCTTGCATTTCATACTCACTTAGTCTTCAAAAAGCTTCAGGTATACTAATATAGTGAGACTCAACAAATACGTTAATTTCATCATAGTCAAGTGTTTGTTGTTTAGTTCTATTTATTGATCTTAATCTAATTTTAGCACAGTCATATCCTTTAAAAATATATTTATAAAAGTACTTATAACTTTTAACACTAGAACAGATTTCAATATTAATATGCGTATTATATTTTAATAATAAGTATAGGTTATGTAGTACTACTCATCAGTTATCAACTTCATATCAACCAACCACTATAGTTCTTCTAGTATTCCTTCGTCGGTAAATAGCAAAACCATTATTATTTGCTATAGTCTCTTGAACAAAATTTTTTGGATAATTTTTTGTATAGAGATTAAAATTTTCTTTTTCAGTACACGGAGCATCAGGATTTATATAACTGCAAAGACCATGGATCATTGTTTTTTGAATAATATTAAATAGTCAGAGATTTTTTAATAGGTCTGAGATTTCACAATTAACTAATTGGTCAATTATATTATTGTCTCTAGATTTATCTTCATTAGCTAAAATAATTAGTATATGACAGTGAGGAAGACCCTGTTTCTAAAATTAGATAACTCAAGTAAAAGCTACAACTTTATTAAGAACATAGTTTTTTATTAGATCTTCTACTAATAGGTCAAGTTTTATTTTAAATACTTTAGCTACGATATCAGGACAGTCTGCTGCATTTTGACCAAGATAGAGAGAATTTGCTATCTTTGGCCACAATGGGTTACAAATAAATATTAAAAAGATATCTGGTTTTTCAAATTTGTGACAAATTGTTATAGCATCTTGGTAGTTTTGTTGTTTAGCACGGGACTTTCTTAAAAGCTTGAAGGAAGTATAACAACCTTACCAGATATAATATTACATTTATTAGCTGTAGTTTTCAAGTAATCTGTTAATCCACTATAAGTTTCTGATCGAAGCGTAACTTGATTTTGGCGTAGATAATTTAATCTAGTTTCTTCCACTTTGATATAAGCATTAACTAAATATTGTTAAAAAAGAGGCCCACTCCGGAAGATAGGATTGAATGCATTTTGTTGAGAGATATGATATCCATAAAACTGGAGCATTTATACATTTTTTCCATGTTTATTCAATATTCCAGAATGCCATCCTTTATCTTCAGCTAAAAATATAAGAGGATAAGACATAGGGTCACAGTTAGCATTGATAACTGGTATAATTTGTAAATTAGGATTAGAAGCACAGGGATGAACAACCAGATGATGTGGAAAAAATTGATCATTATTAGAACCAATAACTATTGCAGCAACTTTATTGGCTTGGGGTGAATTATACCGCTTTTGAGCTGATCGCTGATTATGGTCAAAAATTATTTCTACATTTAATGGCAGTTTTTTTTCTAATTGAGTACATTGATCTTCTTCATTTGAAATTTCTCACAAAAGTTTATATGCTTGAGCATATGGACTTGTGTTTCTAATAATTTAATTAAGTAAATCAAGCAGCTCATGATTAAGATGAATATTATTAGAGTATTGAGATCTTATCCTCTTGCTTACTTGTATCAAGAAAATAAAGTTGGCTAAAAGTAGGGAGTTCACCAAGCATGGGTCTTGCAAGACTAAGACAATAATATATTTAACCAGAAATATAATAAATATAAGGTTCTCGACTAGTTAAAGTTTCACAATTGGCAAGGATAGAAGCAAATGCTAAAGCAGAGTTGTAATTTCGAATACTTTTAAAGAAATTAGATGATAAAGGATGTTTTTTTCAAATAGAAGTTTTAATTCATTTGGAAATAGTAGAGGTTGTTCAAGAGTGATAATTCTTTTTTGACAACATGAAATAAAAATATTTGATTCTCACCCTGTATATTCACCTGCAAAATAAAAAGCTCTACATACTTGACAAATAATATCCATTATTCTAATATCTAATTCAATTGGAATTATTTCTGAATATGATAATACTTCTCTGTAAGTTGGAGATAGTTGCATTTTCTTTAGTTGTCTTAGTAGTTGACGTTGTTTAGCATTAGTAGTTTTTTTTAAAATTTCTTCCTCAGGTTTTAATGCTTGACATTTACGTTTGTGATGTTGAGTATCCATAAATCATCTAGTATTCGATTGATTTCAAATTTTATTATTGTGCCAAATGCTCATATATGATTTAAAAAAAGAAAATTTATTGCAAGTATCTATTGGATCAGATTATTAGATCAAGAAAGTAACGATATTTTTAGGTAAAATTAATTAGCAGTAAAGATTTATAAGCTCAGGTAAAAGATAAAGCCTTAAAGGCTATGTTATTGTTTATGAAGTTATTATTTTGAAATAATCATTGATTAAAAACTTTTTATTGTTAAGATATTAAGGCATTGTTTGTATATAAAGCCATTGTTTCGATACGAAGCTATTGTTTAGATGTAAAGCCATTGTTTTTGTATAATTCTTAATTAAAGTGATATATTTTAATTATTTTTTGAATAGTCATTGATTAAAAACTGTATTACTGTTTAGATACAAAGCCATTATTTTTGTATAATCTCTAATTAAAAGCTTGTTATAGTCTGAATGTGAATTTATAATAATTTTTAATAGTATTAAATAAATTAAAAAATATATAGATTGCATTATGTAATCTGTATATATATCGCACCTCAAAAATTTAGGTCAAGATAGGTTGAATAACCTAAAAAATTTAAAGACAAAAGGTGATCAAAATGATTAAATTGAGGAACCAGAAAATAAAAATCAAGAAAATCTAGAAAAACTAGAAGATCTGATGCTGTAGATTGACATGAGTAGCTGAAAAATATTTTGAAGATTAACTATTTAAAAATAACTGCTAGACAGTTGCTTATACTAAATCTTATTGTTATTGTTTTTTAGTTTCTAATAGAAGAAATTAGAATACAAATTTTAAGTCTATATATTGCGAAGAATGAATTTGAGAATGTGATGATCAAATATATTGGAAAAGTTCTAATGGATTTGTAAGTTAGTTGTAATAATATATTTATAACATTTTTTTAATTTATGGGTAAAAATATAAATTTATTATTAGTGTTTACAAAATCATCAATATTCCTGACTATATTATATATATTGATGTTGTTGATAAAGATTGGATAATTAACAAATTATTACTATTGTTAGTATACTTCCAAGCAATATTTATAAATGAAATACAGTTTCATAGTAAATATATTTTATAATTTTTAAATAACTTGCAGATATAATTACTTATATATTCGAATTTATAGGATTAAACATGATATTGAATCTATTCATGAGCATCTTGTTATTGAAGGCAATACTTCAAATAAAGATAGGATAAAAGCTAATATAGTTGGTGTTTGGCTTTCAGATAGTTGTCAAGTTATATTTTTAGAAATGAGTAGAGCTCCAACTGATTTTTTAAAAAATCATCCAGTTGATGATGTGCATAAAACACTCCAAGAACAAATTGATTCTTTAAATTCAATTCTTCTAAATTTTCTCAATTATAATGTTCGATTTGCAGGTGGAATTTGTTTTTTAACTATTCAAGGAATCAGTAAGTAGTATTTGGATAATTATTCAGATTAAAAGCAAACAAAATTTATATATTTTTTGATTATTGCAAAATAGAAGATCGTTTAATATTAAGATTAATATTTCTAAGAGGAAAAGATGACTATATTGATAAAGAAATAATATCTGCAGTTTTTCCGCTTAGCTAGAATTTCCGATTTCAATTTCATGAAATATTTGAAATTATGGAATATTTAATAATATTTGTTATAAAATATCCAGATATCATAAAGGAGTTGATAAATCATCCTGCAGATTCTCATGAATTTGCTATTCGATATTGTATAACTGATCAATAAATAATTTGGCTTTGCTTTTATAATCATCTGTAATGTTAAAACACTAAAATTAGTTATATTAGTCACAAATTGGTAATTAACTATATCAACTAACCAACTTGTTGCATGAATCAGTTTATAAAAATTTACGTCTCTAGTATATCAATTTTAATTGTGGTAAATTTTAATCATAACTGTGAGCTGTATTAGATTCATTATTCATTATTATGTTGATTAGCACACAGTCATTGATTGGGGTAATTCATATCAAATGATTTATAACCATATATATATGATTGGCACTATGAAAGATCTTTTAATAAATTGTGATTTTACAACTATCTCTACATTACTTAATTACAAATTTACATAACTTATAATTTGTGGTATTACAAAAACAACCTGCTTATAAGTTATTACAATTTCAGGCGCCTGAAATTGTACTTAAGCCCTTGAAATAAATTTTTTTTTTTTGCATCCATTAGCTATTTTTAGGCAAGTATAACTTCATAACAAAACAAGTATAACTCAATATCAATATCGATATAACTGTTAGACTATTTGATTAGTAAATTGTGCTATGTTACCATATTAACACAGTATTATATATTTTACTAATTTTCATACAAACAAGATTTTAAACAGTTATGAATTTGTCTGATGATTTAATTTAAAAGTGCCTTATTGAAAGGCATATTAAATTTTATGAATATACTCGCTTCAAGGATATTAAGTTGATTGAAGAAGGTAGATATGGAAAAGTGTACCATGCTACTCTCAAGAATAATGAAATTACTGTCGTATTAAAATCATTTAAAAGCAATAATGTGACTATTAAAAAAATTGTTAATGAGGTAGTTGGTCCACACATTATTCATTATATGTAGAATATATATTATTATTCATTATTATAAATTATAAATGTTTATAGCTTAAATTACACTATAAAGTGGACATGCATTCTAATATTATACGCCTTACAGCGCTACTAAGAACGAAAGTAATGCAATTAATTTTGATATCTATATATTAAAATACAAATGTCTGTCTGTTCAACTAGCCAATTAGAAATTTCTTTTGCAGTCATACTTGAATAAGGCTTATACTAAAACACAAATGTCTGTCTGTTCAACTAGCCAATCAAAAATTTCTTTTGTAGTCATGCTCGAATAAGGCTTATATTAAAACACAAATATTTGTCTGTTCAATTAGCCAATCAGAAATTTCTTTTGTAGTCATACTCGAATAAGGCTTATATTAAAACACAAACGTTTGTCTGTTCAATTAGCCAATCAGAAATTTCTTTTGTAGTCATGCTCAAATTAGGCTTATACTAAAACACAAACATCCGTCTGTTTAACTAGCCAATCAGAAATTTTCTTTTGCAGTCATGCTCGAATTAGGCTTATACTAAAACACAAACATCCATCTGTTCAACTAGCCAATCAGAAATTTTCTTTTGTAGTCATGCTCGAATTAGGCTTATACTAAAACATAAACATCTGTCTGTTCAACTAGCCGATCAGAAAATTTCTTTTGTAGTCATACTCGAATTAGGCTTATACTAAAATACAAACATCCATCTGTTCAATTAGCCAATTAGAAATTTCTTTTGCAGTTCATACTCGAATAAGGCTTATATCAACATAGCGGGCTTTCATTGTGATTGGCCAATTTTTGTAGATCATCCCGTGATATAGGAAAAATTTTAGTGGTTAAT